TTAATACAGAACAGAAACTTCTGAATCTAAACACACAAAATTCGTTCTTTTTATATACAGAAAGCAGGCGCGGATCTCAGATTTTTTTCCAAAGGGGGTGGGGGTCCACCCCAGTCAAATATATCAAACCAGAAATTCTTCGATAAGCAAAAAAAAAAAAACTATTTCGTGTTAGTGATTGTCGTTTGTGTGTGTGTGTGTGTGTGGGGGGGGGGGGGTCCAAAGTATTTTTTTTATTTGCTTCAGTATACACATTTAATAACTTTGCAAAATCAGGGGGAGTGGGGGGGGGGGGGCTTCCAAAAACCCCTCTAGATCAGCGTACGGAGAGGTGCCGAGGGGACAGAACCTGAAAGCTTTTTAGCTCACCTGAGCCGAAGGCTCAAGTGAGCTTTTCTGATCACATTGTGTCCGTCGTCCGTCCGTCCAGCCGTCCGTCCGTCCGTGTTTACGAGAGTGCATTTATTGGGTATTTTTCATGCCAAGGCCAGAATTAAAAATATCTTTGTTTCCCCTAACCCGACCCTAAATTCTCAAGTTGGGTCGGTAGGTAGGTAAACAATTTTATTTTCTGAAAGCAACTTTGAAAATACATTCTAAAATTTAATTGAAAATTACCTTTATAAATAAGAAAAGTACAAAAGAAAGCGATTTGTGATCTAAATGCTAAGTATCATACATATGCGGTTTAAAAGCAAACTTCATGATTAATTAATTCACAACTGTTATTTAGTTGAACTTTTGGAATATCTTACGCCATTACCTTTATATAAATTGAATAAAATAGACAAGATTCTCAAATACGTAAAGACCAGACATACGAGTATATTTTTCAAACCTTCAATCAGCCTTCAGAGCTTATAGACGACCAATGTACTTTTTTGAGGGCAATGAGATTTGTAGTGGTTCTGGAGCATTTTGCTTTGGAGTTAAGAAGTAAGTGGCTAATTTTAAATCGCAGGTTCAAATCCCAATGAGTAACGTTGAAAACAGTCCTTCAAAGGGGACCATAAAAACTTATGTCCAGTGTCGCAGAAGATGGTTGCTCAAAAAAGACCTCCACTTCTTAATGGCAAAAAAATAGTGCTGAGTACATCTAAATTTGGGGCAATGGGGAAATGTTTAAATGTCGTCCTAACGTCCTAACAAATCTCGAAGAGATTAAAAGCAAAGAAAGAACAAAGTTTCAAGGGCCTAATTAAAGAAAAATACACTGGACGTCTCAGGAAGCTGAATCCTAATTTCAAAACTATTTGGAAAGAGTATGTTACATGTAACAATCTTTAATTGAACCAAACCGAATCTACAAATGATAAAAATACCATTCTCACGAAGTTTAACCACTTAATAAAGGCAGGAATATGCAGGCATATTTACAACAACTCCTATAGTTCAAAATGGCATATAGTAAAAATAGGATCATAGATGAACTGGTTATTAGATCAAAACTCAAATTTAGTACAAATTTATTACAATGTAATATGCAGTGAAATTGAATGATGTGTTCACTAGGTTGGCCCCTTACCTACTCATAAAGTGGGCCTTACCATGCATTATGTACCTTAAATTCAAAGACAGACTTGTTTGTTTGCTGCTTAACGTCCCTGTCAAAAATTTATTCACTCACATGGAGACGCCAAGACACCTCCGAAACACTCTTAATTAGTCATGGTAAATTTTAGTATCGAATTGCTTCAAGAGTGAAAAATTCCAATTAACTGAAAGCATAAGATTGAGACGTCGCCATTGTTCTATGAAGAGCTACTGCCCTGTAATCACATCTGGAGGTCATTTTGTTTCCAACAAATGATTGAAAATCACAGTAGAACAATGTCGGCCGTTCTGATGAAAACTGATTTGGATGAAGTTGTATTTTATAAAACTTGGTTAACAATAAAAAAAATATTTGAATCATTTTATTCAAAAAATCTTTTCAGTCGGTGCGATTTAATTGGGTCGGTCGCGTTAGGGGAAACAAAGCTATTTTTTATTTTGGCCCAAGATTGTACTTATTGGGTACTTTTTGCTTATTGGGTATACCCAATAAGAAGTGTCGCTGAATATGCTTAAAACACCCTAATTGGGTATTTGCAGGTTAGTACCCAACAAAACTTGGACACGACGATTTGTCCAAAAAAGTGTCCAAAAAAGTTGCTTTCACGGACGCACCGTGTTTTGTTGTTTCAGTTTTACTTTCGGAACTCTAAATTCTCGAGAGTTCCGAAAATCAACTTCCGTTGATCCTGATCATAGCAACGTTTGTTTTCATGGAAAAAAAATATGGCGACTAAGAAACACTTAATGTCAACAAGATTTTCTGATTGACAAGAGAAAAGGTAAGTTTATTCGATTAATATCTATCCATTGCTGGGTTCTTGTTTAAGGAAAATAGATTTTAATGTAATTTTGAAAACAATTGTGCACAAAATTAAAATAGATATATCGGAACAATTAATCCTAAGTTGCACTTGTTTGTATTTTGAATTTTCTCTGTCTTTTTAACTCTCTTGAGGGCGAGAAGTATTTAGTAAATGATCGTATATTGTTAGATAATCTTTAATAAATCGAAAGTGTTTATTATTTAATTTTATATCATAACCAACTAAGTATGTTTTGACAATGTATATTGGAAAGGGAAATGAAAAATTTAACAATCGTGTGTTCATAAATCAGCTGTAAATTATCGGTTCATGTAGACAGTATTACAATCGCAAAGTGAGCTGAGATGATGATAAATGGGATTATTGACAACAACTAAATAATTGTATGTAAGTTTATCTCATCTGATATGTAACTTAAGAGATTCATTGTATTACTGAAAAACTTTCAGTCAAAACAGTCTTCTTTCTGTCTTTGATTTTGACTCAAATCAAAAAAGTGCTAAATGTAAAGCAAACTAGCATGGCGCTGTGCCATGCCCTTTTTTCTCGGCGCCATGCCTCTTTTTCCAGCGCCATGCCCTTATTTCCTAACCCAAAATTAATAAATATGCCCAGTTTAGGCAATATTCCTTTGCTGTTCTGTTTATTCAGTGCATGCTGATAATCCCTTTGTTTAAACAACGACAGGAAATCACTTCACGCTTGAACGCACGCACACAGCCACCTGGCTAATTAACATGCCTCAGGCTGTCAGGGTAGAGGATTTAACTTGAGAAACTGTCATTTGATTGCATTGATTATGCAAGAATTAGCCCAAGACCAAAGATAAATAAACTTGTAAATTATTAACTAATAAAAATCAGGATCGTTTTTTATAAACCGAAAGTAGAATAAAACACATAATACAACTTGAAGAAAAAACGGATATTTTATCTGAATAAAATACTTACAGTGTACCAAAAAACTGAATGTGATGTGATAAAAAGGCTTAAAAACAACAAACTAAGTTAGTTTCTTTGATTGAACTGATAGATTTGACAAGCTGAGGGTCAAAGTTTCTGATTAAAGCCAGAGTTTTTAAAAAAAAAAAAAAAACAAATTATGCATGGCAGTAAGACCAATTTTCACATGATCCTGTTGGTAGAATATTTTCCAAGTAAAGAGAATGGTCTCTACATGTATTTTTCAAAATGCCCACCCCCCCTTCCCTGAAAAAAAGTATTTTCCTTTAATCTTTAAATTGACTGTACTTGTAAACAAATAACAGTCCAAGCAGGTAAAAAAACAATCATAACATTGCACCTGTTTCAGCTAGATTAATACCATTACTTTCTCAAGTGTAACCTACAACTTTTTTGATTAAAGAATTTGGATGTAAATGCCTTTTTTATATTCTTTTTGTTTCTGAATCAGTAATTAAAACATTGTTTAAAAAAAAAAGAATGGAATACAGATATATGAATTTATCTTTCAATAACTTGTTTTAAATAAAGATTTCAATATGAAAGAATATTAAAAGTAATCAAACATGTTAAAGTATGTAAAAATTTTAAAATGTTAAATATAATTTCAATGACATTAACATTTGTTTTCAAAGTGCCCTCATGAGATCCTGTTGCGACACAAAGTGCCCTTTTGATTCCTTGATTACCATGCCCTTTTTAGGGTCTAGATTTAACAATTTTTTTTTTATAAAAAATGAGTGTCTGCTTTATTTTGATTTTTTTTTAATTATTGTTTTTGTCATTTGTTTTAATTTAAAATTTAAAACAATACTGAAATTGATATAGGGCTACTATAACTATTTCACATGATGGGTGTGTAATTAGCATCGGGCTACACCCGGGGCTTCCATTTTTGAGGATGGGGCTAGTGTTTTTTTGAGGATCCTCTTGGGCTATTAGGAATTTTAAAATACACATGTAAGGCTTAAAAAAAAAATAAGTTTGTTTCCTGTAACATTCCCAAAAAATCTCGGTAGGTTGGAAATTCTTTTTTCTTTTTTTTTTTTTTTTTTTTTTTTCCAAACCTTTATATTTAAGATAAATGTACACTAAGTTGACATATTTTATGGCTACAAGCTATTTTCTTAAATTTAATAAATGGAACACTGATGATCAAACGAAGTTTTGGCATTTGTCAGAAAAAAAAATCCACCCGGGGATAATTTGAATGGGTCGGTCGGGTTACAGGAAACAAACATATTTTTTTTAGGCCTAATACATGAAAAGCACCACCGGTATTTTCACTCTTTTTTGCTATTAAATTCCCTAATATGGAAATATTCCAGACAGCATGCTCATATTATCCATAAATCTCCACAACTGCATCCATTTTGCAGTACTACAAGACTGATTTACTTAAAAACGATCTTTTATTTCCTAATTTGAATTCCCCCCTTTCCTTTGTTTAATATAGCAATATTTGCTTGTACATATATGCCTCACAGATATCTCATTATTAAATTATATACATTCACTGAATCAGCTCAATGATAAGTGTCATGCAATTATGTAGTGTTCTTTTATTTAAAGCCATATATGGCGTAACTGATCAAAAAATATATTTTTGAAAAATACAAAATTAAGTAGAAATATAGTTAATACATTTAAATTAAAGCTTTTCATACAATTCGGAGCACGGAGAACACCTCGTTTTATCTAATAATACGATTTTATCTTCTCTGTAATGTGTTATTTAAATCTTTTGTATTTTCTTCCAAGTCGGAGAAAATTCTGAGAATCCAAATTAAATTTTGATATCTTTATAACGCAATTGACTTAGATTTTGTAATTTACGGAAAATTTCTATCTTTATCATGTTTATATAAAGTAATGATACAAATAATAAGTTCTTATAATTTTAGTCTAATAATTTTCATTGTACATACGCCATATATGGCTTTAAATGATTCAAGATGAAAACAAAATGATTTTTGCTTCGTTTTAATTAGACGAACTAGTGAATGACCAGAAAAGGAATATTTAAAATCTTTTTTTTTTCATTTTTTTTAATCATTAATTTATATATGATTAAATTTTACTAGCGAAAATTAAATTAAACTTTAATTTTAAAAAGAATCATCTGTAGTTAATACCCTGACTTTTTTCACGATGAACTTTTTTTCAATGTTACTTTTTAATTTTTGCCTCTATATTTGGGCTTGTCACTTTTTACTCGGGGATAGTAACTTTATTGCCACAAAGCTGTGGATTAGTACTTGATTTCCTTTATTGCACAGCGATGACTATGATTTAATAGCACAAAAAGCTAATGGGTTTACGTTTGTGAATTTATATGATTAATGCTTACTTGTGATTTTAGGATAACTGGAGATAATGATTCCTTTTTTCCATTGATATTACATAAATATTTTCCTAAGTATTATGTTACAATAAATTGGTTTAGATTTTTTTTTATAAAAGTAATCAATAATTACAATGGAAATTAAAACCATAATCATGTTCATTGAGGATTTTCAATATGTAACAGGTCAAACAGGAACTTCAATTGTGAACATTGCAGAGAACACACTCATCAGAAGATGACCCTCAGAAATAGGACAATTGTAAGTAATCAGTAAAATGAACAGGAATACTTCATGCCAACCATAAGATTTTTAGAGACATTTTCGCTTCTTAAATTAGAAGAGATAGAGGGAAAAACTTGTACATACTACATAACTACTAGGCAACCAACCTTTAACTGCAGGAAAGCTTTTGGTATGTGCAATACAGCTACATAAAACCTCTTTAGTATTCATGTTAAGTTTGAGAAAGTACCTTAGTATTTTTTCTAGTGTTTGCCAACATTTTCATGCACACTGTTTGCTTGTTTGTACTATCATTTTATTTTAAATTCTTCAGATGCCCTTTACCTTTGCCAGTTTAGAATCATTTGTTTTAAGGGCATCTGAGGGTTGGTTCCAGAACTTAATTAATTGTAAAGTAAATACTGGGGTACTATACGGTCATAGGTTATGTTAATACATGTATAACATTTTGTTCTGATAGAGGTGGCATACAGGAAAAGAAACAATACTAGATATCACTTCAAAGGAATAAAACAGCTTCATCTTGTAGGTGTATTTTATTTAAGGATCACTACTTCATGTCTGATGTGCTGAAAGTTATTCATAATCTGTTTGACTGTAATTTTTCATATTTTCAACTTCTATCCAGCTTAGTCAATTTTAATTAAATTTTGTGCAAAGCATACCCCAGGAAGGGGGGATGGAGTGTCAAGTGTGTCTCTGTCCCTGTCAATATAATTTCAAAGCAGTTAGTAAGGTTTGGGTCAATTTTAAATCCTCTTTAGCAGAACCATTGGGCTAAAAACAATACTAATGTGAAAGCTTTATCATTAAGTGTAGAGATGTTTTTGAAGATTATGTACCCCTAATGTACTGATAGTGTTACATTAGAAGTCTAAAATTTGCAAGGAATAGGTGTAAAATCTTTTTAAAATCTCCTTCTTAACAATCAGAAACTAACATACTGTCTAATTAATATGCAACATCGTTTTGTGTGTTGAATGATGATTCCATTTTGATAAAATTATGGCGGATGGGGGTAGGATGAAGATGCAGTTAGACATAGAAGAAAAAAAAAGAGTTGATAGAATTTAGTTTTTCTTCCATTTTATTTATCAATACATATTTCTGAATAAGAAATATACTTCTACTTCTTGGTTGGGTTTGATCAACATAAAGGGTGATCTTGCTGTAGTCAAGAAAAACATGTTTTATACGGCAAAGAAATGCCTTTATCTAATTGCAGAATGAATAAAATGGACAGAGGCAGAACTGAAGGAGATGCATGAAATGAGGAATATTTCAAAGATTGCCTGAGCATAACCACTGCTACTGGATAAACATATGGCAATATAAAAGAGCAGGGTCAATGGAGGTATCATACAGTATAGGCCATGAGAGACCCTGAAGAAGAAAGTATTGAACAGAAACAAAAATAAAACCATTTTGACATTTATTGAAATATAGGATCAAAGTCTTACATGTAAAATTTGGGCATGTAATGACTTTTCTCTAGCTCTAAGACTTATAACAGTGATGATTTGATTTAATATCTTTATCCCGATTTGTCGAAAAGATTTGGACATAGTGCATCAATTATTTTAAAGTTTTGATACAACGAATTCATTCATTGTACTTGTAACTGAGTTTTCTAATGCGACACTGTTTTATCGGCTTCAAAACTAAGTTTGTGATTTCCAAACCAGATTAATGAGATCATGTAATATCTTTTAACATCGGTGACTATTTAATCCATTCTTTTACATCTCAGAAGTATTTTTATTATTACAGGGAAAATATGCATTGTACATGTATCTGTAATAAACAGGATTATAGAAATTTTCCATATAATACAACACAATCTTAGCAACTGAAGGCAAATATTTTATCAAGGGTGTGATCTATTTATCAATATGGTTTTCAGCATCTTGCTCTACCTGTAATGACTTGCTCCAAGTTCCAATATTTAAATTTAAATTTTGCAAACATGGTTATAAAATTCTTTAAAAGCCAAATAGTTTAGGCACAAAATGCTTATATATTTCCTATCATTTGTAAAGTGTACACTGAATGAGATGTGGAATGTTAGAATTAAAGTATTAAATATGTTTTGGACTTATTGTATGCTTATGCAGATAAATTTGAATTCAACTAGGGAAGGTAAATGTCATACTTATTGGGTTTGCAATCTAATGCAAGAGTATAAATATCCAAGACAAATTTGACAATTTTAATGAAGGGCATAAGTAACCCAAGAAGAACTGGACAGGTAAAAATCAGCTGTTGGGTTTTATTCTAATGTTGGGATGTAATATCCAAGAAGAGTTGAACCAATGTCCAATACCTATTGGGTTTTCTTTCTTATGAAAAAAAATTTGAGTAACCCAAGAAGAATGTCCAATACCTTTTAGTTTATATACTATTGAAGGGATGAAGATATCCAAGAGGAATTGGACAGGTGTCCATTACATGTTGGGTAGTATTCTGATGAGGCGATTCTAGAGAAACCCAAGAATTAGACAAGTGTCCATTGCCTGTTGGGTGGGATGTAGATATCCAAGAGGAGTTGGACAGGTGTCCATTACCTGTTGGGTGGTATTGTGATGAAACAATTCAAGAAACCCAAGAATAATTGGACAAGTGTCCATTACCTGTTGGGTGGGATGTAGATATCCAAGAAGAGTTGGACAGGTGTCCATTACCTGTTGGGTTGTATTTTGATGATGCAATTCAAGAAACCCCAAAATTAGACAAGTGTCCATTACCTGTTGGGTGGGAAGTACATATCCAAGAGGAGTTGGACAGATGTCCATTACCTGTTGGGTGGTATTCCGATAAAACAATTCAAGAAACCCAAGAAGAATTGGACAAGTGTCCATTACCTGTTGGGTGGGATGTAGATATCCAAGAGGAGTTGGACAGGTGTCCATTACCTGTTGGGTGGTATTCTGATGAAACAATTCAAGAAACCCAAGAAGAATTGGACAAGTGTCCATTACCTGTTGGGTGGGATGTAGATATCCAAGAGGAGTTGGACAGGTGTCCATTACCTGTTGGGTTGTATTTTATGAGGAGATTCAAGAAACCCAAGAATTAGACAAGTGTCCATTGCCTGTTGGGTGGGATGTAGATATCCAAGAGGAGTTGGACGGATGTCCATTACCTGTTGGGTTGCATTCTGATGAAACAATTCAAGAAACCCAAGAAGAATTGGACAAGTGTCCATTACCTGTTGGGTGGGATGTAGATATCCAAGAGGAGTTGGACAGGTGTCCATTACCTGTTGGGTTGCATTTTGATGAGGAGATTCAAGAAACCCAAATAGAATTGGACAATGTACACATGTTCAATTGTTCTTGGGTAGTTTTATCCCTCGTCATAATACAACCCAACAGGTATTGGACACATGTCCAATGCCTGTTGGATACCTTCATTCTGTCCAACATGTAATGGGCATTTGCTTATTATTAATTGGTCATGACTCAAAAAGGTTTCTCCTTTAATACTTAATTTTGATATTCAAGAAAGGTTGAACAGAGTCTTGAGATGTGTAGAGTTGTGTTTTCACAATTCAGTTTTTTTGCACTTAGGTATTCATATATTTTAAAATTAGATATTTTGAAATATACAGGTGTACATCCTTATTGCTAAGAACGAATTAGTTAGGTGTTACAATAAAAGAGCTATATCACAGAAATTGACAAAAATATGGGTTCAAAACCAAAGGTTTTCAGTCTTGTCTGAATTTACCAGTAAATATTAATATATAATAAATTTGAAATGAATAAAAAACAATAAGAAAAAACCCAATAAAATAAGGACACAAGGATTAATATCCAATAAGATTTGAACAGTAACTACCCAAATAATGCTCTCTCGTGTGTACACTTTTTTTGTATCCAATAAGCAGTATCCAATAGGACTTGGACTTGATGTACCCAATATATAACCAAATGTGTGTCTGTCCGTCCGTCTGTCCGTCCGTAAACTTTTCACATTTTCGACTTCTTCTCAAGAACCACTGGGCCAATTTTGACCAAACTTGGTAAAAAGCATCCTTGGGTGAAGGGAAATTTAAATTGTTAAAATGAAGGGACATATCCCCTCGCAAGGGGAGATAATCAAGAAAAGACAAAAATAGGGTTGGGTCATTAAAAAATCTTCTTCTCAAGAACCACTGGGCCAGAAAAGCTGAAACTTATGTGGAAGCATCCTGGGGTAGTGTAGATTCTAAATTGTTCAAATCATAACCCCCGGGGATTGGGCGGGGCCACAGTGGGGAATCAAAGTTTTACATAGAAATATATAGGAAAAATCTTTGAAAATCTTCTTCTCAAGAACCACTGTGCCTGAAAAGCTGAAACTTATGTGGAAGCATCCTGGTATAGTATAGATTTTAAATTGTTTAAATCATGACCCCCGGGGGAAGGGCGGGCCACAATGGGGAATCAAAGTTTTACATAGACATATACATGATATATAGGAAAAATTTTTGAAAAATCTTCTTCTCAAGAACCACTGTGCCAGAAAAGCTGAAACTTATTTGGAAGCATCCTGGGATAGTGTAGATTCTAAATTGTTCAAATCATAACCCCCGGGGATTGGGCGGGGCCACAATGGGGAATCAAAGTTTTACATAGAAATATATAGGAAAAATCTTTGAAAATCTTCTTCTCAAGAACCACTGGGCCAGAAAAGCTGAAACTTATGTGGAAGCATCCTGGGGTAGTGTAGATTCTAAATTCTTCAAATCATAACCCCCGAGGATTGGGCGGGGCCACAATGGGGAATCAAAGTTTTACATAGAAATATATAGGAAAAATCTTTGAAAATCTTCTTCTCAAGAACCACTGTGCCTGAAAAGCTGAAACTTATGTGGAAACATCCTGGGGTAGTGTAGATTTTAAATTGTTCAAATCATGACCCCCGGGGATTGGGCGGGGCCACAATGGGGAATCAAAGTTTTACATAGAAATATATAGGAAAAATCTTTGAAAATCTTCTTATAAAGATCCACTGGGCCAGAAAAGCTGAAACTTATTTGGAAGCATCCTGGTATAGTGTAGATTCTAAATTATACAAATCATGACCCCCGGGGGTTGGGCGGGGCCACAATGGGGAATCAAAGTTTTACATAGAAATATATAGGAAACATCTTTGAAAATCTTCTTCTCAAGAACCACTGTGACAGAAAAGCTGAAACTTATGTGGAAGCATCCTGGGATAGTGAAGATTTTAAATTATACAAATCATGACCCCGGGGGATTGGGCGGGGCCACAATGGGGAATCAAAGTTTTACATAGAAATATATAGGAAAAATCTTTGAAAATCTTCTTCTTAATAGCAACTGGGCCAGAAAAGCTGAAACTTATATGGGGTAGTGTAGATTTCAAATTGTCTAAATTATGATCAGTGGGGTAGGGTGGGTCACAATATGTATTACAAGGGGTAAATCTAGTAAAGGACAGAATTGTCAAAGCTTCTCAGGTGAGCGATGTGGCCCATGGGCCTCTTGTTTCAGTTTTATAAAGTAGCGTAAAGACCAGCCACGTAGTATAGGAGGGGGATGCCCCTTTCCGCTTTTTCCCGAACATAATGTTTTACTGAAAATTTAGTTCCAAAACCCATCATAATTATGGATCGCAAAATTGTCTTGTGAAAAAATAAGAACCATACCACAACCCCCACCCCAACTCCCGGGTTTTTAAGATAAAAATGTCAATTATTTTTTAGATTCCCCTTTCAAAACTGATCCTACATGCATGAAAACTATAGATTTTTCCCATGTTCTGTTTTGTGTGATCGTTGGGCCCAGGCAAGGAAGCCTTTTTTCTGAATTTCATTTTGTCTCAATAGGGATGATGGAATAAACTACATGTATATGTACCGATGAAAACCAACAAAATATGCTTCATAAACTTCTTGGATGTGTTTGGCTCTATCAAATCATCTGATTAATGCATACAAACTCAATGAGGGGTGCAAAGTGTAGGAATCCCCCTTTCTTAGTCGTGTGTAGTCTTAAATCTGATGAAATATTATAGAATGCATTAATGATTCTTCATAAACGCAAAAATATTCATCTGTTTTGAAGAAAAAAATAGAAAAACTACTTAACACGTGATCACTTCAAATAAAATCAATTAAAATTTTCCGTATATACAACCTAATGTGTACTTTACAAAGACATATATATGGGTCATTTTCAAGTTCCAGGATTTTTTTCTAAATGAGGGGAGGTTCATGTCCACTTAAAACGTCATGCAAACGCAAAATACCTATTTGTGTGTGTGTATGTCGGGGGGGGGGGGGGGGGTGTTAATGGACATCTCTCGTTGATAAGCTGTTTCAAATATTTATATGACACTTTTACTTTCCGAGAGGTCAGTAACTCCTGAAAGGGGGGTCCAAAGTTATTTCTTGATTGTTTTACTGTATAAAATTCATAACTGAAAATCCGAGGGGGGTCAGACCTTTCCAACCCAAACAACCCTCCTGCTGAATACTATAGTATCGGCAAAACTTGCATTTACAAACGAAGCATCGTGTTTGACAGGGGGGCAGCCAAGGACATTTTTTTTACTTACCTTAAAAAGTTACGAAAGCCCATTTGGCTCATTTTTCGTAGATTAAAAAACAATAAAACTTTCACTTTATATCGCGAAAGTTATGCGTTATAGCGCGAAAAATTGATTTTTTTTTACCTACGAAAATGAGCTCAATGGACTTTCGTAAAAAATTGACAAGCAAAAAAGGAAAAGTTGCCCAAAGTCGAAAATCCTATTTCGTGGGGAAGGGGGGAGGGGGGGGGGGGGGTTAGAAGCCAACTTTTTCCAATGCCAATTTCCTTCAGTAGCACTTTTTTGACCTACAATACTACATTTTCCTTCTATCACAGAAAGTTGGGGAGAACCAGCCTTTCAATTATCATTTCCTATACTGTAAGTAATATTGGCCAAAAAAAGGGGGCTGGCCCCCTCTTTCTGTGACGTGCCTGATTTTACACTTGTCAAATTACTTTGGATAGTTACAGTTAACAAATTGTGATAGAACAAGTGACAAACAAGCAAATTCAAAGAATTGTGGGAAGCCATGTAGCATCGATTT